TGGGTGTGAGGGAGGGCTGCGGGTTAGAAAACTGTTAAAGGGTTATTGCGCTTCCCTCCTCAAATAAAGTTAAGTCAAGAAAAACACAATGTCAATAATTTCCTTTGTTTCTTTTATTTTTCGTGTAAAATGCACCAGTAGGAGGCAAAGTCTGTTCCAGTTAGTCAACTTTAAGAGATGTGCATAAAACCAAGGGGGGAATGAGAAGAGGGAAGGGGGAAGTCTCCCAAGATACTCCTTCTGAAAACCACAGTTTTTTTTTTCTCTCACTAGCTCATTTTCTCCACTGAACACATCCTAGCACAGGATACTCTATGCACTGAGAAGCAGTAAAGCAGTTTTCTTTACAGCGACACTAATGAGCACCTTACAAGGAGCCAAAATCATGCTAAAATCTCAGTTGACCCCCTAACATCACCATAAAAGTTCTCCATACTGTCCTCTATACATTTCCTGCGATACTTACGAGAATTTGTCAACTGAACAGTCAAGGACTTCTTGAAATTACTGCCACTCCTTTTATTTTCATGACCTTAACCCTTTACTGTTAACTCCCATGATCTGGTTAATTCTCTTTTCAAGCTGATACACCTTTCTTTGTAAATCAGTGACAATAATTTTGTGTTAGATCAAGACATCTTCTACCTGATAAGTTTGAACATTCTCATCACCTGTTTGCTGGAAAATGAATGGATATTGTGGGAAGAAGTTACATTTTAAAGACTCCTGAGTATCAAAGGGTTAATGTTTGATTCAGGGGGGTTTACTGGTTGGAGAAATTACTTGCTTATCATTCAGGGAGAATAGGGTTAAATCAAAATTTTGAACGTATGCTTAAAGAAGAGAAGTATCTACAAAAAGTAATCAATGAAAATTAATAGACAATTGTAGACAGTTGATAGGTTACGCTGTAGAACAAATGACAGTCTGTGTGGAAACCCTCTCTCAATCTTATTGTCACCTCTGGGAGTTAAAAAAAAAAACAACAGAAACACAAACACAAACAAAAAAATCACTACAAGAAAAAATTAATATCAATATTTTACAACAGTGTTTTATTTTAGCTGCAGACAGAGGGATGAAAGGAAAAGCAGCTCAATGCCATTCACCTTGTTGTACAATAATTAGCTAAAAAATTAAACTCTCGCAGGGTGTAAAATCATGAATGAAGTGTAGTGGGACTTGCTAGACTACATACAGGAAACATACAGGAAGCATACAGTAAGGCATGTTTTTACTTCTTTTATACTCCTGCAAAATGCCTGCAGAAATTTGAAATGACAAACATTGTAGTTAATTGCTTACATTTCAGTGTTTTAAGAATGGCTGGTTCAAGGTTTACAATAAGTAGAAAGATACTTTTTGACCAAATATTTTCGAGGTTTAATTAATTTACTATTTCCTTACTTGCTTTGTTAGGATAACTACATTACAAGTTAAATAAAAGAAAAATAAGGTATTGAATAGTAAATCAGCTTTAAGAAAAGGCTTCAATAATCATTACTGTTCTTGACTTTACAGTTCCAAAACAATTATCTATTGGAATAACATACTAATGAGAAGAGAATCATTCTCAACACTTACAAGAAAACCTTTTGAAAAATAAGGCTACCATTTTGGTTTGGAAACTAATCAACACCACTTTTTTTGAACTTCACTTAATAGACAAAAAGGCTTGTTATCTGTTGAAACTGTGCAAAATAATATCTATCTCCCCACCCAGACCAAAAGCAAAGATCAAACAAAACTAAACACAAGGACTTTTATAGAATCCAGAGGTTCCTGTATGCAATTATCTTTGTGACCCCACAGAAGTGGGAGAACCAAATTTCATAACCATGAGCACAAATGTAATTCCAAAGCAGGTGTTCTTGTACATCACCTCCCTCCCCTCCCCTCCCCTCGACATCTGTCTACCTTCCCCTCTGTTGACTTCCTTCATCTATTTATGTCTTAACAAATTTTTGATCAAGAAGTGGTTTATTGTTAATTCTCAGAAGATATCATAATTACAGGTTCTTTCTCCTCAGTTTCATCACAATGCTTCGTAAACAGGCGAGGGGAGTTAAAAAAACCTAACCAGCTTGATGTTGTCTTGATATAATTTGAAACTCCCTTCACTAATTTTCAAGGAAATGCATATCACCAAGACAGGAGAATGTTGGATTGAATCTTGGGCGTTAAATGCTGACCTTTGAATTTTTCCAAACTTCAATTACCTATATTTCATTTTTTAGTACAGTCTAGATATAGCATTTTCAAACAGGAAATATTTTAACTATTGGTCATTAATTAATACATATGTACAGCAACTACTAGATAATGTTTTAATTAAAGTACAAAAAAAAAAAGAACCCTGATACCTTAGTCATTAGTATGAATAGTTTATAGTGTATATGAGTTAGGGTTTTGAAGTTACAGCAGGAGCAGAAGTGGGTTTTGCACTTTGGTTTGCTACCACCCAGACTGAAAAGAAAGAAAAGAAATCAGAAAATGAAAAAATCGCTTGTACCTTCAAGCTTCAATGTGATCAACACATGAGTGAGATCTTTACACAAACTACCCTTTTTAACAACTTGTAACTTTTTCACATGAAGGAAAAGGAGGGAAAAAGCTCACTAAACACAGAGACAATGCTATAAACTGTACAACAAAGCTGTTCTGTCATGTCTCCAGGGCAGTTCATTAGCAAATGTACCTGTTTATAGTACAATGTACTTAATGAAGAGAGACACTGAGGAATTTACAACATCATGATAGAAGGAAACTCTTGTTTTCAGCATACCCAAAATATAGCTCCCAAACTCTAACACCTGACAGTCACTGAAAATATATTTTCTAAAACATCCTATTGCTTATTTTGTTTATTTTTTTGGCTTTAAGGCAGCCAGTGTACCAGACCCCAACCAAAAAATGTACAGATGACAATTGAAAAATAAACATGTTAACACTGTACTGAGGAAACAAGGAATAAATCTTGATAAACTTACTGACTATTGCTGCAATGATGACAACAATCACCACAATAAGGATAATCCACATCTGACACAATGAAATAAAAAGCAAAACACTTAGCAAAACAAATCAGAAGTACATTCGTTCACTTTGTTAAGCCTGAGGTTTCCATTTGGTATCCACAATTGCTGGAATATATCCAGCAAAAAGTGTACTTGTATGAAAGCTACTCTTCAGTAACTATCTTGTCACGTAAAAAAAAATTGTTACCACAAAAATCTTGATTTACTTCACTACAGAGTGGAAGTGTCTTGGAGTGCCTCTACACTTACTTCAGTCATTTAGATAAAATTAACCAATCAAAGAACAGGAAGCAAATTGTGATTCCAGCTAGATTCCATTGCCAAAACTGAAGCAAGCGAACAGGTCAAATATTTTTTATCTGAGTTTAAAGTATAATAGACAGATCTGTAAATTCAAGTGAATTCAGTAACAGTAGTTGCATTTTAAAACTAGTTTCTGTATGATTGCAAGGATCACGTTCATCTCTATTGAGGTGGTTTCTGAACTTCAATGAAAAAAAAAAAAAATGAAACTTCAATATCAAAAGTATGTTAAGTTTCATGTGATAATCGCCATAAAAACAGTGATTACAGAGACTGATGAACTATTCTAGGCAATCCTAAGGGTCGTAGAAATAATTTAGAACAAGTGCACAGACTCAAAATGCAGGATGAGCAGTTTATCAATCAGTCCGAGCTTCTAAAAATCAACCACACAAGGGTGAAAAGGAAGCTAAAAATAATTCAACATGAGAAAAAAATTTCACTCTTAAATATTGTACCTTGCAGTTCTGCCACCACATTTTTCGCTTCAACCTAGCTGCTCTATGTTCAAATTGTGATGCTCCAGCTTGTAATTGATCTGATAAATACAACAAGGAAGAAAGTTTCACAGATATTTTTTTAAATAATAAACATACTTACAAGTCTAATCCAAATGATAACTTGTAACAAATAAAACATACATAATTGCCTGTCAGCCACTTTGAGAAATATTTGCACAAAAGGAATACCCATTTCAACAAAATGTTCCACTTCAAATTCTTTAAATATTTAAGCAGGTGCTCAGTCTACTGAGTAGCTCTGTCGATTCTTCAGAAATGGCGACTGAGGTGCTAGGAGTAGGTACATTTTCAACAGTTTTGATACAAAAATTCAAATTTTGAAGGATACTGTCAGAAATGGATAATATCAATACTCTTCACAGCCTCTTGTTTCTCACAAAACTGATCTCAACAACCATTCCAACAAGCTTTGAGTTTTTCAACAGAAACATCCTTCGGAACCCATAGGGTACCCTATAAGTTTGCCAAAATTTGCAAAAACACTTAATGGAAAAAATTGCAATCATGAATAATCTGAAACTTGTTAGAAAAGTCTAAGGATCTATCAACTACTACAAATCACAAGAATGGAAAAGATTTATTTTATTTCCTGTTGACTGGAGAAGTATTTCTAGTGTTGTAAGATCATCAATTCCTAGCTACCTTAAACTGGCTAAAAGTAGAAAGTTCTATTATCATATTGAGTACGAATTTTTGTAAAAATTAGAAACTTTTAGGTACTTAACAAGATAAAAAGGGCGCGTTTAGTTTGCGTATGTTATGACTCGTTTGTTAAGGAAAGAACATGAAACTTTTTTTAATGCCTTGACCAACTGGGTTTGTAATTAGTAGAATGCAGGGTTGTTTGTTTACGGAATAATTAGAAACTGCGTCCACCGTAGTTAAACTTCGACAATCAAATAACAATCATTAGTAGTCACAAAATTACTAAAATTACAACTGTTACTACTTTGAGAGGCACGAAAACGTTGACTTACGTCATTATGATAATAACGGCTGATTTCAATCCAAAATTATGTCATTTAATATCGATCGCTCAGTAAACGGAGTCATGAAAACATGAAATAGTTGATTTGCACTTATCCAATATAGATTTTGCAACACAATGTTTAAATTTTTCGTGATTAAGTTTAACAGAGAAACAAGAATTGCGAAAAACTTACTCAGGAAACAAGTTTAGACGAGCACAAATAATGACAGATAGTTTTTCATCTACGGTAACGTGCCCTACCTGCTCGAGAATCAAGTTCTGATAATTTTGCGTCTCTCTCCAATACTTTGTCGACATTCACTTTCATTATGTCGACGACCTGATAGAAGTCAAAGATAAATACATCAGACAATATAATCGAGCTTCGAAGGAAAGAAAATGCTACACACGATAGTGGAATAGTTTGATGGACGGACTTGAACTGTGATCTCAGAAAATTCTTAAATTGGGCTGTTCCACCGTAACAAATCAGTATCAACACGTTCAAAATGTTGAAATTACCTCATCCACTTGGGCTTGCGTCTGCTGTAACCTTTTGTTCGACCTGAAATTAAAAGAACCATAAAGTTCTGGCTTTGAGAGGAATAGTACTTGGTAAACAGCTCCGGTCGAGTAGTGCGATTGATTTGATACCCACGAAACTGCCCGCCAAATTTTCGCAACCGATTTCTCACGAAAACGTGTAAGACTTTTCACGAATTTTGTCGTGAAGTGTACGTTTTTCAGTAAAAAACAGATTATACTTACATTTTCCAATTTGAAGTATGCAACCGTGTCAAAATCGATGCAGCAGATGTATATTAGAGTTGATCTAAGTTCCCTTTCACTTATAGATAAACTCGGCAGTGACGTCATTCGCACTGTGAGCCGCAATTTAGTTTACAGCGGAGCTTCCTGTTGTGCGAAAACGAGGTCACCGGTCCGAAGTTGTGCACGTGTGGAAACTTACATCAGACACAGACATAGCTTGAAAGTTTATAAAAAATTTCCCAAGTCGAGGAGATCGCATACCTTCTAGATGTCCTGGTTATTTGGAGTTAACAAAACTCCCCCACCTGGCGAGGGGCCTCCGTTGATCCCGGGTCCTCCTCCGGGAGGAGACGATAAAAGTGGAGGAGATGGAGCATCGAAAGATGACAACTCGGAGAATGAAGGCACCAAAGGTTCCCCTGTTTGGAGAAGCTTCGATCCGTCGGGTCTTGAGAGAGCTGCCAAAGCAGCAAGGGAACTCGAGAAATCACGTAAGTGTCTGGCTCTGAGACTGGAGGTATTTTTCTAGCGATCTTTGTAGTACACAGTGACTCCTCTTCCTGGGAAAAAAAACAGCTGATGGTTAATTGCGAGGTCGATGTGATTCTCGAGTGATATTGCGTTACTCTTGAATCCTAACACGATAGTTAGTGAAGGCTCGATAACTTAGATTGCTCCAGTTACAAGGGGGTTTATGTTACAGGTTTCAAATGTCTTTAATTCAGCAGACATTATCCCTTACCCCACCCCCACCATGCCTCTAACCCCTCCGCCCTCAAAATTTATAAATGATTCATGCAATGCAACAGCTACCATTAATGGTATAAGTGGCATTCCAGCTGACTGATGTCACAAAAAGCTTCTCTCTTTGTAAGGCTGTCAACACAATGATTACAAGTTACCTCCTTAACTGGGGTGTAAGAACAGATTTCAGGGCAAGGGGTTGAAAAACTGTGGTGAAATCACAACTTGAATTCATAACATTTTGTTTTTGTCAACATCTACTTAAATGACCTTATGATTAGGTGGAAAATGTTGAAAGTCTAGTTTGACATTAGCTAATGGTGTGACCCCATCTACTCGACAATATATCATTAGAGTCAATGAATAAAATGCGAGTGGCAGAAGAAAAGTTTCTGTTCGTTCAATGTAAGGACTCCGAGTCTGCACTTGAATTAGAGAGGACCTCTTGGTGTAAAATATTTTCTAAGATCTTATATTTCTATAGTGGATTATGGTAAGGTTGGGGAAAGAAACTTTCTGCTAAGAGGGTGAATGAAAGGGGAGGGGAGGGTGGGGAAATAATCCATTCTTTCCCCCAAACTCATTCCTAGGGCCCTATCCCTCATATGGGGACTCCCAACTATCCACAGTATATCCAACTCAAACATGTCAATCTGGAGAAACGAATCAGGGGCTTGTGACTTCAACTTGCCCACATCAACAAGACCTCTGTTTTGCAAGCTTGAACTGTGTTATAATAGGGCTCTTAACAAATAAAAATGAAGAAGGAATACCTTCCTGAAAAGCAAATATTATCTAAAAGGAGACCTTATGCAGAGGGGGTGAGTTATTGATAGATGAAAATAAACCAATTTTTTTCTCAAAAATTTTAGATCACTCAAAAGAGGCCCTGGAGATGGCCAGAGTACAGGAAGCTACAAAGCAATTGGAACAACAGCGTAAAATTAAGGTGAATAGATTTTCTTGAGAGTTAAGATAAAAACCACAGTAACTCGATGAGGTGTGTTATTCATATATTTTTCTTTTGTATTTCTCTTTGATTACAGGAATATGAAGCAAACATTGAACAGATGCAGATGGACAAAGTGAGAGTGGAACAGGAGGAAAAGAGAAAAACTCTTGCAGCAGAAACTCAGCAACATCAACAGGTTACTAACAACATTGTAACCTGGCCTGCCCTGTGTCTCTGTCGAACCCCCCTCTCCAATATCTTAACCTCCTAACTAATTTTATCAAAACTCCTGAAATCTTAAACCTTTTACACCCTAACATCAGTATGCATTTTCTCCATACTGTTGTCTTCAGTTGGTGATCATTTCCTCCATTCTCCTGACCTTAATGTGTGATTTAGGGGTGATATTGTAAGGAGAAATTAGATGCTAGTCACTATTATGGGGTCAAAGGGTTAAACCCTGCAGTATTTCAAAGCCTCTCTATATCTTCAACGTGATAATTGATTTTAATCTCCTGTTATCCACTGTCTCTACTCTGATTTAAATAGATTTTTTTCTAACCATTTTTACTGCATTACCGCAGTAGAGTAGGACTAGAATGAAACATATGCGAACCATGCGAGTAGTCCAACCAATAATTCCCACCCATCTCACCCCAGGGTAGGACATCCATCACACAGTAATCTCGTGCGTAGGAAATTAACGTCTCCTACCTCTGACCCTGTAGGAGACGGGACCTCCATTTATTCGTCCCTATCCGAGAAGACTAGAATATCTAACCATTACTTGATGTTATAGAAAGGTAGCATATTCTTCTCAATTATTTTAAGACCGTGAGTGTTGGTCCGGCCGGGGCTTGAACCCCCGACCTCTCGCACAACAGTCCAGCGTTCTATCCATTAACATAACTGCTTTGAGAGAAACTAATGATCTTTTATTTCATTGTTCATCAGCGTGCTCAATACCAAGACCAGTTAGCAAGGAAACGTTATGATGATCAACTTTCACAACAGGTAACTTACTTTTAGACCATCATTGAGGATGGATGAAGAGGGGAACTTAACTGCTGGCCCTATTATAAAGTTTCTGGGTTTATATTCAGTTAAAGGACAAGTTAACCAACTTAATCAATAGGAGGGTGTACATAATGTTGGTCATTAATTTTGTTTCCTACTTTGATAACTTCTGTAACATTACATTACATTAACTCTTTTCACCCTACCACCAGTCCCAATATTCTCCATACTTTTCTCTATACATTTCCTTTGGTGCTGACAAGGAGAATTTGTTTGATGATCAAAACTCCTTAAATTGATAATCTTTCCCTTTATTCTTGTGATTTTAATGAATGATTCAGCAGTACCAGTAATGCTGAAAGGAGAAACTTTATGTTTGCTACTCTCAGGAGTCCAATGGTTAAGTAATAGATATGAGGGAAGCAAGAAATACACTTTCATAAGAAGTACCATATTTTAATGGATTTTAACAATACAAAAGTATTCTTTTAGCGTCGGATGAATGAAGAAAATTTAGCTAAACAGGAAGAATCAGTGAAGAAACAAGAAGCCATGAAAAGAGGTACTTTGAGTCTGTTTGTGTAGAATAAACATAATTCATCAGTTTTTACCCTAAGATTAGTCCTTTCTTTTATATGATATCTTGGTAAACTGATTAATATCAGCATTTGTCAGAATTCAAGCTGTAATCAAACAATGGTTATTATTTGCCCCACTTACAGAGAACCACAGTTTCTTTACAAATTTACCCTCTTTATTCTGTGGTTACTATAAGTTTGTTTTGAGTTTGTTGGTGATGTTCAGCAATGCATTTATCATACAACCCAAGATTTTTTTGTCAGACCAAACTACTGATTATACCAGAATGGTTTATGATGGTGGCCAACTCTACCAAGATATTTGGTTAAAAGATATTATATTCCTACAATTTATATTGAATTTAATTGTCTTGTTATAATCCCTTTACAGGCACAATTGAATATGAAGCCCAGATAAAACATGAGAATGAGATGAAAAAACTGGAAGCAGAGCTCCGTGGAAAGTAAGTGATAAACCGGTAGATGATCATTCTAAACTACCACCTTGGTGGCAGTGAGCTTGGGAGACCAGGATTGAATTGGGGGTGTGGAAAATTCTCTATTATCAGAAAGAAGAAAAAAGTTTTGAAATAAAATGTTTCTCCAATTCCACAAGCTTTATGCCTTTGATGATACCTTTGAACCTTTCTCCCTTCCCATCATGTCTTTACCTGACTCTGACAATGACTGATTCTGTCTCTTTGGTGGACAGCAGTTCTCTAAACCCTTTGACTTACGTGGGTGACCAAGACGGAATTTCTCCTTAAAATATCAATACAATATCAAGCAGACAAGTGATGAGAGTAACGAAAAATATCTTTTAGGGGATGCATTGTTGATCCAATGTCAAATTCCTCAAACTAGTGGTAACATAAATGGATAATATTTTTACGGAAGACGGTGAGGAATTAATGAGATCTTTGGAATGAAATGGTGTAGCGCGTGGACTGTCACTAGTAATCACCTAACAGATCAATCAATGTTGAGATTGGAAGCCACCCAAATTTTTTTCAATCATAATAATTCATGATTTTGCTAAACCCTTCAACTACCAAGAGTGACCAAGACAGAATTTCTGTGAACAATATCAATACCATATCAATCAGACAAGTGACGAGAATAAAGAAAAATATCAGTTGGGGGAATATTAGTTGGTCCAATACCAAATTCTACATTCCCACATCATAAGAATTGTATGATAGACAGTAAAGAGAATTACAACTGAGATCTTGGAAGTAAAATGGTTAACTTTTTGTGCTCTCTTTGCCAAAAATGTGCACATGATTAACTGAGTTATCGACAGATTGAGTAATGCATTTGCTAATTAATTAATGATTGATTGAATGATCGGCATACCAATTATTTTCAGAGCTAAAATAGAACGCGAGAACAAGGACATCAGAATGGAACAGATCAGACTCAAGGCTGCAGAGCAAAGAGAAACTGTTCTGCAATCAATCAAGTAAGCGCTGATTACGCTACTAACCAAGGATACTGAATAAGAGAGAAAGTAAAGTTTTGAGCCCATTTATTAAACAAAGAAGGATGTTATGTTACACGAGTGGCACACAACAAATCTCGGAATACTATGCCCCACAAATCCTCATCAGGGACTCAGAGTATACAGCTTAGTTTCCCCTTAGCTTTTTTACTATTATTATTTAATTTAAATTTATACCGCGCAGTTTCTATAAAAAATACTCAACTGCGCCTTACAATAAATATCAAATCAAAAATAAAATAGAAGTTCAAAATTACAATTCTAAAATTCCATAATAAATAAATAAATAAAATAATTCATCATTAATGCTTTTCTAGTGTAACAGATAACAGAGAGATTTTGCACTGCGTTTGCGTTTGCGTTTGCTTGAAACGTGAACGGCAAGATTGACTATGTGACCTTGTTTTTCCCGCCATTTTTTTTCGTTTTCCGGTTGCGCTTCGTCGTTTCTAGGTGAAAGTAGCCTATTTTGCGTTTGCCGTGTACGTAAGGTCTTCTTCACTTTTTCTCTCGCAGAGTAGAAGTTAATTGCCAGAAAAAGGACACTAAAACTTTTCCTTGTAAGTCATGCAGGGGCACCTTCAAATCCACCAACGCAGCAAGGTTCACGCTATTTTACGTGAAGCGTGGAAGGGCGAGCTGACGTTTGCCGTTCACTTTGTTTTGCAGAACGGCAGGTAGTATCCTTGGAGCAGGATTTGATGCATTCATCTCAGACTGGGATAAAATATCTGCCACAGTAAGAATTTTTCAGTAGTGGCAACACGTATACATTTGTCATTAAGTTATAAATTGGATTCGGCGGTGAACACCTGTAAAGTGACTCTCCTTGTCCACCGTTTCATGGTCAAATTGGAATAAGAAAGATCGAATTTTGGCCAAGCGGAAGAACCAAAGAACCCAGAGGAAGGCGTTTGTAGCAAGTAGAAGAACCAATAACATCCTCCACCCACATGTCACTCTGGATTTTTTTAATTAGTAGAAGTTTCCCAGTGTGCATTAATTTTGGACGTCTGAATCACAGTTATGTGCCTCTCTTTACAGGCTGCAGGCCTAACCCTTCTAGCTCTTGGTGTTTACACAGCTAAATATGGTACAGGAGTCACGGCCAGGTGAGATATTCACCTGTACATTTTCCTCACTAACCGTTTGTCACCCCTAAGAGTGATCAGCATCTAATTTCTCCTTACAATATCACCCCTGAATCACACATTAAGGTCAGGAGAATAAAGGAAATGATCACCAATCAAAGAAGCTCTTGATAGTTTTACAAATTCTCCTTGTCTGCACGTGAGGATATGTAAAGAGAACAATACGGAGATAAAAAGTCGGTAAGTTTCTAAAGAAACTGTGGTGCTGCGTCGGTAAAAGAGTATAACAAGATAATTTGGTTTTATCAACTGAGTTAATAATGTAAATTGGCAACCGTAATAAGTTTCAAAGCTGACGTTTCGAGCGTTAGCACTTCGTCGGAGCGAATGACAAAGGCGAAAACACATACTGATCAGTGTTAGCGTGTAAAGTTTTTCATCATGTCTACCACCAAACTCCTTTATTATTTTATTTTTTATTTATAGATTTATTGAAGCTCGCTTGGGAAAACCAAGTCTTGTACGCGACACATCACGATTGAGTGTTTTTGGTGCTTTGCGACACCCAGCACAGGTATCAAAATCAAAGCTTTCTACAGTTTGTTTTCATTCTCTCATGGTTTTTATTTTGCCGGGATGTGCTAACTCTTCTATTCCAATTTTTTTGTTCTCCAGACTGTTAGGAAAATGTTTGTAAATTATGAAGATTCATTGCAAGGTATTATTTTGAGGGTAAGTACTCGTCTTATTTGGTTAATTGCTCAACTTGTTAATAATTTGAAGGCTTGCAATATTCGAAGTGCCCCTGTCTTTGGCAGTAGCGATCTTTCCCGTAATGTGTTTGTCAAATATTCTCTCGTTACAGCCCAGTCTTGAAAAAAGACTTCAAGAAGTAAGCAAAGCAACAGCGAATACCAAGAAAAACAAAGGACTCTACAGAAATCTTCTGTTTTATGGTCCGCCAGGGACTGGGAAAACTATGTTTGCAAAGGTGAGAAGACCAGCTTTCAGATCACGATGAAAAAATTCTGGTTTTTAAAATCAAATTTTGATAATATTACACTATCTCCTGAATTCAGTTCTTCTTCTGTAAACTATGACAATGGATCAAGAAAACGTCACTTCATCTGACGAAGGGCCATTGCCTGAAACGTCAATTTTACAAAGTTTGATTAAGCGGTTGCAGTAATCAGCCTCTAGTTGAAAAAGTCTCTTCAGGTAGCCAATACTGGGGTAAACTTCCGCAAGATGGGCGTTTTGGCTAATAAAGCAGCTCAACTATTTAACATAATAGCTAACAATTCTTGAGCTCAAGAATTCTATCAAGTGGAATTCGACGAAAGCAAAGCCTGAGTTATTTATTCATTGCGCCTAGAAATCAAAAGCGAGTAAGCCAATTGTTTTAGGATAAATGGACTAGTTTTCAAAAGTTAACAACAAGACGAGCTCGTGTGTCCACTGAAAAATAACGCAGATGCAGCACATTGTCGGGCATCTCAGTTTCGTCACTGCCTAACGCGGAGTAGATTGCGAGTTGGTAGCCACTCAGAATGCAGCATTTGAGATAGACCGCTAGTAGACACATACTTACCAGCGCATATCTTCTAGAGCCTGGCCAAGCACTCAGGGATGGATTATGGGATTATGACCGGTGGCGATATTGTTCCCATGGGAAAAGAAGGAGTGACAGCCATGCATAAAGTGTTTGACTGGGCCCAGACCTCTAGGAGAGGGTAAGAGTAACACATGATATTTGATGCTGTTATCATGGCAACTACTCATGAGTTCATTTTTTCTCGTTGAACGTTTCTTTTTCCAGACTTCTTCTCTTCGTGGACGAGGCAGATGCCTTCTTACGCAAACGTAATCAGGTAAGAATGGTTTTGGAAAACTCTTCGTTTAATTCAGCATTGCATCAAGTGTATTTTGTATCACTTTGCTCTAGTTGAGAAAAATTCTCGCCACTAACTCAGCTAAGACCTTTTAGATCCAGACAACAAGCAGTACCTCCTTTTCGGCGAAGTTCGTCGCGCGAATCAAAAAAGAAAAAAATCAGTAAAAAACAATTTATGTTGGCGTGCCGCGCGGAACGCTGGGAGTACGGTACGTAAAGAGTCCCAGACTTCTGTGCGGGGCGGACTTTGCTGCAAAGGAGGAACTGCTCGTAACCTACGTCATAGCAAAACTAATTGTAATTTTGTCACGCATTTTTTACACGCATGGTAAAATGTTGACTTAGTAAATGTTTTTTTGACTTTGTAGGAAAAGATGAGCGAAGACTTGAGAAGCACATTGAACGCATTTCTTTACAGAACTGGCGAATCTTCACGGAAGTAAGCTCTTTCAAATTGCATAGATTTAGCCAAGTCACATTATTTGGAGATGTTTCAAAAAATTGCTGCTGTGAAATTTGTGTTGGAGTAAGGGAAAGGTTTCTGTTATTATGGTCTGTAGTCACAACTGAAGGGTGTTGTTTTCGATTGTTTATCTGTTTGGTTATTGTTTTTTTTTTGGTACAGGTTCATGTTAGTTCTCGCGAGTAATCAGCCTGATCAGTTTGACTGGGCCATCAATGACCGCTTAGACGAGATGATCGAGTTTGGTCTGCCAAATCTTGAAGAACGAGTACGTTTAGTCCGGCAGTATTTCGAGGAACACGTTTTAAAACCCGCCACAACTGGATCAAGAACAAGGTAAAATGCTTAAAACTGCAGCAATTCTGTAGTAGTTCTGGGTTTTATAAATTTTGCCTCACCAAGTCCTTTGATTGGTCTAGAGAACTTGCGCCATTCTTTCGACCAATCGTATGTAATATGAAACCAACCGCGACGAAATCACTCGCGTTTTCGCGCGCTTTAGGTTGTTTGTTTGTACTTTGAATTTTATCGGCAGTAGTAGTAGTAGTAGTAGGACTTTATTAAAAGTGTCAAGAGCCGTCTAGCTAGGGAAAAATCCCGTATTAATTTGGGGACACTAAAAAAGAAAAAAGACTAGGAGCTATTTACAGTAGTATATATATTAAAACTAAGAGAAAATCTATAGTTAACTAGTTACGGGATTGGTAATAATTGTGGTATCTCTCTTCTGTTTTGCAGTCTTGACTACTTTGGTTTGCTTTTGCGATACTCCGAAAAAAATGCTCAATTTTTTTCACACGTAGTGGCGTTTGTCTTCACCTTTTTTGTCTGCATAATGCTTTCTTTCTCTGTTGTCTGACTGGTTGGCTCTTTTGTTTTCCAGTTTATTTTCGTCTAAACCTTGATTTGATTTCTCTACTTTTTAGTCGTATGAAAATTGCGAACTTCGACTTTAGCAAGAAATGCCAGCAAATTGCCGAAGTAACCGAAGGCCTTTCTGGAAGAGAAATATCTAAAATAGCGATTGCTTGGCAGGTAAGCTTTATGTAAATTGCTAGTGAAATGGTTTTCATTCAAGTGTCAAAACTGATTCAGAATTTCTTTGGTTTTTCCTACATGGCTTAGTGATTGGTGAAAACAACTCGAATCACCTTTCAGTTCAATCAATCAGAAGTAAAACTAAAATAAGTCGTAATTACAAACACAATTTAGAGCCGGCACTTGTGTTTACTCTAGGTTCTCATTGGCTTATATTATCACGATTTGCCTCAATTCTTATTGGCTGCACCTTACATGTCGTAATTAGTATAGCTTTTAACACTCAAATGAAGAACGTGGAGAATTGAAGCAAGGAATTTGATGTTTTGATTCTGTTTACGTTCAAGACTAATGAAGGTTTCTTCTGTTCTTTCAGGCCAGCGCTTATGGCTCGCCTGATGGCGTCCTCACAGAGGATATGATGGATGAAAGAGTAGAAGAAGCAGTGCGACAACACAAGCAGAAAGTAGTATGGCATCAAACGGAGCCAGTAAATGAAACAAGTGCGTCAACGACGACAACAGAGAAAAATAAATCGTCCTCTCCAAAAAGAACTTAAATTTAACTTATCTTCGTGAAATGTTTTGGGGGCATGTTTTTAACAGAGCGGAAGAAGAGGTGATAAATGCCCAAATTTCTGAATATTTAATGGTCCACGACATCCCACATGCTCTAGCGCCGGGGAGAAATTGCAGTAATGCGTCTTATGATGTCTTTCAAGAATTTATCAGGATCTTCCGAAAAGACGATGACAGAGAATGCTGTTTGTGTTCAAACAGTGACGAAAATGACACCACAAAAATTCGCTTTTCATTGTTGATTTTTAAGATCTCGACATTTAACCACCTTGACATACTACTTTTTCCGAACATGCGTTTTGATTGGTGGTAGCCAGTTAGCCTGCGAACAGGCACGCGTTAGTAGTGCCAGATCTCTCGTGCCTCTCGCCAGCTCGCTTTTTCAAGGCCTTCGCGGGCCAAGAAACGCTCTAGCCGCAGCGCCGATAATGAGGGCTGTAATATCAAGCAAAACTTCACCAAATAAAGTCATCACACATTTCAGTTTTATCCCTCCTGGGCGAGAGCGACGGCTCAACATTGTCCAACAGCTCACAAATTTAGGCTCCCTCAGACTTTTGTCGCCCTTTGACAATTAAACTTAATTTCAATAATTATGATGAAGTAATTGAATAAAAGTTGTCGAAAATCTCTCACAGTATTCGACATGAATGATCATTGAATCTGGAATGGTATTTGTTTTTTCAAAGGGCCCGAGCACGTTGCAAATATTCGATTGCGGCCTGATAGGGGCCAATCTAGCACCAGTACAAAGTGATTTTTTAATTAATGCGTGGAATTCCAAGGGATGAAAGATTGCATTTGGGTAATGTTTGAGGGGAAATGTACAGAAACAACTGAAATCTGTCTAAACTATCCCAATTGAAATCGAATCTTCCAAAATTAAAAGAACCACAGAAATAAGCAAACGAAACAGTCCAAAGTCAGACTAGAGCGTTATATAGTAATAGGATGGAGCCATCTGAAACAAGGCTGAGCCGTCAGAGGTCAAACGTTACCGTGAAAAATTGGGCGGAACTGTCTCTGCTCAAAAATCGTGCTGAAAACAAAACGACACAAAAATTAAAAACATAAGCAATATTCAGAGAAAACGGAATTAATTCATTTCTGGATCTGTCACGGGTGAGTGTCACAAGATCCAAAATGGCGGCGTTTTTGAAGTGGAAGGCTTGATCCCAGGTTCCTGATCCAATTACAGCGTGTAAACGGTAAAATAAGGAGTTAAGTTTCAAAAGAAACTGTGGAGCTGCGTCAGTAGGGGAGTATAACAAAGTAATTTTGGTTTTATTAACTGAGCTGATAATGTAAATTGGCCACCGTAAGGAGTTTCAAAGCTAACGTTTCAAGCGTTGGCTCTTCGTCGGAGCGAACGGGGAAATATTGGGGGATTCTGTGTGTATTTTTTGAGACCATAATACGTCATGTCGGCACTTAGCACCACTCTATGACGTCAGTTTAGAAAAAGAAGTTACTAGGCAACGGTGGTGTCACCAGTAAAACCTCCGGAAGCGATTCGAAAAATTGGAATGTAGTTCGATTACTTATGATAAGTTTTTCACAAAAGTATTAATCTTGGTTTAGGAAGAGTCCATAGCATGACAGTTTGTTTGAATGAAGTTGTGATTTAGTCGGGAACAAAGAAATGTCGGCACTGAAAACTAATTAAAGAATAATTATATCTTTCAGGTCATCTTGAGGTGTTTCACTGTGGTTTCACGTTCTTGGTTAATTATTAAACAATTTCCTTATTTATGTTTAGTTTTGAACAAATTCTTTAATTGATTTATAAGAATTAATCTGAAAGCTATGGCTTCCTTTCTAGGTTGAAATTATGTTTATTTACGCCGGAGCTGCGCAAATTCCTTACTTCAAAATTTGGTACGTATACCGAAGTTTAATTAGCCTTTCAGAGTAGAATCATTATCCTGATAGTTATTTTTAGATTTTATATCTTGTTGATATTCTGACATAGACCGAGCGAAATATTTTGCCTTTTTTCATGATGATACTGCTGATTTTGAAATCCACAAGTTTACTTTAAGCCTTACAAAGGATCCGCATTGAATGCCTCGGCAGCGTTTGGTAAATAGTTAGCTATGTTATGCATTGTTTCGCGATTTTTTCTTTGTTTATTTAGGCAACCTTAACAGCTAATTTACTCATGTTTAAACATATTTTGATACGTGCGAATAAACAGAGTTTGAAGTACGCGAGGATTGAGTGAATGTGACAAGTTCTTTCGGCCAGATTACTATCATGTTTACCAATACAGCTCCAGAGCGGTGTGAGCTGACTAATTTGTCTCAATAGCCAGAGGTAACAATGTATGTAGTTAGTGCAAAACGAAACAAGCGCCAAGTACCTGCTGAATACAGGTAAAGTTTTTTTTTAACTGCCGGGTTATTATTTTGTAAACAGGAGTTACGGTTTAGTTTCATCACATTAAGAACATGAAACAGCGAATCCCAAGTTAGTTTCCAAAGTTTCTCTTGTACAAAGTTAGCTACGGAATCTCGACTTTTGAGCGGTGTAATGGGTTTAATAACCTTGCTAGTTTCCTAAACGTGAGAGTATTCGCAAAATGCGTGTAATCTTGCTCGCTTTGATTATTACAGCTGAAGTGATGGTTTACGAGGCAGCACACATTCATTTGCACAGAAGTTATCAAAACATAAAACGCGAAATTTCTAAGCGAGTGTGTCTCCTGGATCGTCGTAATTTTGTGATGGAAACTCTATAAAAAAAATTTTCAAAAGGTTTTGATTACGCATATTTCCTTGCATTTCGATGGTATTCCTAGTAAATTATGCTGTATCGTACGACTTTCTGAAAACATTGGTTGGTGAGAATGCTTATGCTTCGTCGTTCCTCGTAAACGACAATACAAATCACCAGACAAATAGACGGACCAAACTTGTGGTCAGTCATTATTTACTGATCTGATATCAGTGTTTGCGATTAAAGAAACCTCACCATAATACTCGAAAGGACTCATAAATAATTCCGCGCCGCCTCAAAGAAGTACCACAGTTTGAAGCAAAACTATCGATGTGAACGCCGCTCTCAGTATGTTCTGGAGCGTGTTTCGACTCTTGTTCTAGAATAATTTCTATATTCCAATTATGTTTGGTGATTTTCTTTGTTACTGTTATTTAGATTTTGAATCTAAAGATCGCCCTCGGACTTGACCCAAACTTAAGGGTTTATGGTGAATTCGCCCCATTTTAAGTTTACGCCTTACTAACTTTACAAGTTCGCCCCCACACGGTAAAACAAGTTTGCCGCCAGCTTTACATTTGCTCCCAAATATTTCGCCTCGTTTTTTCCACTACAGAAAGCATTTATTTCCTGTTGAAATCACATTAAATTGCGACCAACATGCAATTTTCACAGCGCAACCAAAAAAAGGTTTACTTCTAGATCGAGCGAGCACATGTGGATTCAAACTTTAAGGTCACTATCTATTCCATATCGGTAACACTAATTACTTACTACAGCTGACACACTGGAGAATGTGTACATGTGAATACCATCAAGGTGGGGGCGAACTCGTTTTTCCAGAAAGGGTCGACTGAACTCCCAAAGGTCATTTGGGGAACTTACGACTCGCCAATTACCAACCTGAGCACTGATGAGATTCGAAAAGCAAGCGCAGCACTTTTGAATAAATGTTGCATCCTGCAGAACTCTCAGCTTTGATCCTGTCTCTTTGAATCGTGATTAACTCAGGGCATTGTGCTCTTTTCCTCTTTGTTACATTACTGCTATGCGTGGTCTGACAACTAAATATGAGAAGGTTAGGGTACATAATAAAAACAGATCATGAAGGCCAGATGTTCATGATATATCTTATGGCAGCAAAAATTGCCTTAAAAAGGGGGTTAATTAAGACTTGTATATGATTAAGACAGTGGCTGTAAGATCAACAGCAGGTTAACCGCAGACCTATTCTGGCAGAAAGAGAGAAAAAGTATGACTCCCGTTAAAAAAGGGCCTTTTTCAACTTGTTTGTCTCATTATTCCGGGTCAGACAGCCCCTCCAAGATCCTTGAAAAAGCTATATTTTTGTATGCTTATTCAAACCTTTTTTGGATGCATCTTTTGCTTTTTTTATTTGTAGGGTTTGACGCCTTCTGCATTCTTTCATTATGGGGAACGGCGTTAGGAAATGTTTCGCTTGTCGAGTTCGTCCCCAATCCCCTGATTTGCAGCCATTCCACGCGAATGCATGGATTCTTGAGGAAGTGGGGCGAGGCAAAGCAGGAAAACATCGCCGACCAAAATGCAGTGATTTGATTGGCTCCATTTATATCTTAACGGCGCTCATTGGGAATTTAAACTCTCCTTACACTAAGCTAAGTCGTGGAGGGCTGTTGGTATGGATACTGAGTATGGCGGTGAACTTTATATATGATGGCTATGAGTCACGTGCTAAATATGGCTACCCATGGATAAGTGTGCGCGGTTTGTTGTTGATCACGTGTTGTGTTTGTACGTGGTCTACCTTTAGGCGTACGATACCGTGGTTGGAGAGGGGACTGGGGGAGTTGGAAAGAGATAGGCGTTACAGGAATGCGTTGCATGACATGGCTGTCATCACAAAGGTGAGAATCGGTGACAGGCATTTCTCAAAGTTTGTGGGTTGAATGTCACTTGAAAACGACATTATGAGGGTAGGAATCCTGTTGTGGGGAGAGATCGCTTGCAGGGGTGGAAAAGCCTCATTAACTAGATAGAAACATTTGTAGCGATTGAAATTCGAGAGACCTGGTGTGAGAGAATTGAGGGGCTCTGTGGTGGCCAAACAATGATGCGTTGGACTCCTGATCAAGAGACCTGAGCTCGAGACCCGACAGCAGGTCATTGTATTATTCTCTATCAGGAAAATCTGACGTCATGATTAGGGAGGTGGGGACGGGGGACACGTGATCGACTGGCATCCCATCCAGGGGTCATTGTACAGTGTTCTTGGGTGAGGTACGTTACTCTTTCAGTGCTTCTGTAATTTTCTGTACTTGGGTACTGGCCAACTATTAGGAAAATCTGACGTCATAATAAGGGAGGTGGGGGGGGACTTGTACTTGAGTGGCATCCCGTCAAGGGGGGGACAGTAACGCTTTTGCTTGCTTCATGCAACAGAAATTTGGATAAGCTCGGGCTGAACTCAGCGAGCTGGCCACTTGGCTCCAGAGCAGACACTACCGGTACAAAACAAAAAAGTTTTACAATGCCCTGTTTTCTTTTACGGAAGGTTCATCTTCTTCTCGAATTGACTGCCACATAGGAATTTTCAGCCCTAAAATGTTTAGTTCAGTTATGAATTTATCATTTTATCTCCGCGCTTAGAAACTTCCCTATGTCCTGGGCGTGTTTGCTATAGTTGGCGGATCTGCTCAGTATGGAATGATGCTGAGAGATCAGGCCACACACGTGACCTTAGGAAAGTCAGCTGACCCGCAAGTCACCTTCATATTCCACGTGTTACGGTTCATGAGTGGTGTGCACGTGTTCTACGCCTTAGTTCTCTTTTGGAGCATTCCCACGTGTGTTATGCTGATGGCGGGGTATTCAATGATTGAATATCAAGGTAGGTTATGGTATATCTAGCTGTTAAACGCAGAGCGCACGATTTACTTTCCCTCCCCGTGAAATGCATCTCCGTTTGTAACAAGCTTCAACTTCTGTTGAGTTGTGCAACTCTCCTGCTCCAAGAGAAATTTGCAATTGTATTTCGTTCCTGATCAGGGTTTTCTTTACTATGATTAATTTAGCGGATGATTCCATTGGTTTTTGTGCACTAACTCTAAATAAAAAATTGCTGTAAGAAAGTTTCTAAGGGCTTCCCTAAAATTGTCATAGCTTGTTCTATCTTGCGCCCGCGCCACGAGCGTTTCCGCTCTGCTGGGATTGCCTGCTAGTTTTCCCACCAACGCGACCGTTAGTATGTATTTGTTTTTTTTTTCAAGGTACGATCATTTTAATTATTTCCCGTGCTAGATATTGAAATTGTGCTCGGTTTAATTTGTTAATTGGTTACAAAACTGCTCCTTTACTCTTAAAAATAATAACCAAATGGAAAATGTAGGACAGCCTTTCCTTTATGACAATTACAATTAAAGCCACTGCAGATATGAATCGCCACTTCAAACCAAATATACTTTTACTTTTTCAAAATCTTTTGTCTCTACAGGCTTCTCTTGCAAACAACTTAAACTCAGGGAAAATAGATTAACGCTGAGACAGGTCATAGAGGGTTACAACGAAAGAGTGCAGTTTGTAAAATCGTCATCTTCAGCTTGTGTAGTAAGTAAATTAAACGATATTTGAGAGTACATAATAATAATGCGACTCTTCCGAATGCTATACCGCTGAATTCCCCGCGAGTTGCTAGTGTTTTTCGATATACGTGATCCTTTGGGCGAATGAATAAAACAAGAAAATATTTGTGATAAGTAAGGCATTCATGATACACTATTCAATACGACATTTGAACAGACTTTGAACTAGCTTTCTATTTCATACGATCTTGAGAACGTTTGCAAAACAGTTTTTAAGTTCTTTTAAATGATAATTTACGAAACAAATGCAAAGGATGCATTATAGAATCCTTATAGTCAAATGCATAAAAGCACCACTTGCTGAGTTCCGTTGGAAATAAGACCGCAACACCCGATGGGAAGGTTAATTGTCATAAAGTGGAATTTATAACAACCTTCCTGTATCTGATTAGCTATACAGTGGAACTTCCGCTAACGGCTACCTCTCTCCAGTGGCCACTTCTCCGCAACGACCACTTTTGTTTGGGCGCGTCGGGGGCAGTCCATACATTACACTCCTGCCCCCCCCCCACCCCCCACACACGACGGCCACCTACCCACAACGGCCACTTTCCTCTGTCCTCAAGGTGGCCGATGTGGAGAGGTTTAACTGTATTTTCCATTAAATTGTATAAAATAGGGCAGGGAGTTGATGATCATTGTCTTAGGTCACACCTTGAGTGGCGTCGTTCGAAGGGAACTCTATCTAATCAAGAGTTTTGATCCATTTTCATATGAGTAAATTTTGGTCGTTTCTCGTATCATCAGGTGCAAATCTCTTCGCTTTTCACTTCTCCAATCTCACCCTTCACATGTTGAATTTATTTAAAACACCATTAGTTTTCGGATAGAAGTTTGACTCCATCTTTTTTTTTTTTAGGTAATACTGTGCATGTTGATAGCGTTTACCTTTGTTTCTTTGGCTGTCAACGCATACGTCTTTCTCTTCCAAAACCGATCGCTGTTCCTGTATATTGTCCACGCTCTTCTACCACTTGGACTCGCAGCCTACCCACTGAGCACTGCGTCATGGGTCACCAAGCAATACCATTGGTTAGTATGACAAGTATTAAATAGTTTAACTCCAAGAAATGATTGGCACCTATCTTCCTCTCAACGTTCAATACATTATCGAGCAAAAAGTGATGAGATTTGATAAACCAATCACCTTGAGGGAAATAATTTTGGAATAATTGTGTAACAGGTACAGGAAAGATTTTCTAACTATATCCATATGTACTTTATTTCTTTACAGGCATCTGGTAGTAGTCGTGAAGGCCTGGGTTGAGTGCAGCGAATCTGACTCGGAAGACGAACAGCCTCTGAGCATCACAAACGAGCATGGGATCAGTAGATCACCCTCTGACCGCAATGAATCGCAGGCTTCCGAAACTAATCTTCGGATTCACATGCCTGATACGGGCCACGTGATCGTGCACTCGGCTAATGACAACATAGACAGACTTCAGAACGTAGTTACTGGATCAGCACGACTTATTGGGAAACTTCAGTACAGAAAAGGAAATCCAAAGTTTAATTTTGAGAAGTACATTTCATATCTGGACAAAGTCTCAAGGAATGTTGGTTTCTCGATCGGTGTGGTGCTGGTGACCTGGGAACTAGTGTCGACTTTGTTTTTCTTCCTCATCTCGCTGATTGCTTTGTTTGTGCAGGAATCCATATTTGGTAAAGCAAAGAGCACAATATCGATTTGAAACGGTTGAATTTTAATTTTTGCAGCAGAACGTTCTAGAAATAATGATTTTAATAACAATATAGTAACAATATTTATAATAAGGATGATAGAACTCATAGTGAAGAAAAAAGTACTGTAAGCCCCTTAAAAACATGGAAAAATAAAAGTAAATTCATAAATGTTATAGTCTTGTTTCACGAGGGGCTGATGGACAAAACAACTGCCCAGAGTGAGGTCTAAAATTTTGTGCTTGTCCAAGCCATCCTCTCAATGCAAAAGAGCTCTAGGAAGTCTTTAATGTATGAAAATTTCAACGAATAGACCACTTTCATAAATGGCTGCCGGATTAATATTCTTTTGTTTGAATTTAAATTAGCCCTTCTGGCCTCGTCTCCAGTACAAAATTCAAAAGAATACATTATCTCAAGCGAGGCCAGTAGGGCTAATTCAAATTTAACCAAAAGAATATTAATCCGGCAGCCATTTATGAAAGTGATCTATGAAAAACCTAAGTTATTTTACCATTCTCTTGGGAATGGAATGTTATAATTCAAAAAGACAGATAAAAGTTTTGATTTTTGTAAACATTTTCAAAGTCTTCAGCGAATGAAAACACCCAAGTTATTTTACTATTCTTTTGGAAATGGAATGTTTTTATTAAAACAAACCAGGGAACGTTCTGATTTTCGTAAATGTTTTCAAAGTCATCGCCATTATTCGCATTCCCTTTTTTGAGCTCAAGCTCGCTTGTTTTGCCCCCGAGATGACCTCACGCGACGACTGATGTTCCCTCCGTTCCCCTAGATAACCCACAGGCGGCCCTTAGGCGGCCCTTGTGTGGTTCTTTGAGAACCACGCAAGGAACATAATTTGCATATCGATTTATAGGGATTTGTATAGGATTTTCTACAAGATATCCATAGAGATAGTTAAAAGTGAAAATATTAAATAAAAATGGCTTACCTTATTCCATACGTGTGTTGCTTGCTCCTGGTGTCGTTATTTTACCGATTTCACTTGATTTAATCGGTTTTTTTAATCCTGGTTTTCTCTTCTTAAAGAGAAGACAAGGCCGAACACTTCTGTCCAGACAGCCTCCCGAACGAAGTAAAAAATCCCAAGCTAAAATGTACCCACGGCCACAAATCTACCGCAGAATTCAAGGGGATAGGTTGACCTTTCATTTCAATTCTCTAGCCGCACAATCTCAGCCCTGCGATCGATGCCAGGCGGCTCTTCGTGTCCTCAGTGAAACGTTAAAACGTTTGTAGACATCCGAGTCCTTTTTAAACACGACACAACGACCGTTGAAATCGGCTTGGTAACCTCTTCATGTTGACAAACCAAGACTTGCGGGGGTACTAGAACTCAACTCGTCAACAAAACTTCTTGTAAAACCCGGGGTCCCTCAGGTGTAGTAACCTCTTCATGTTGACAAACCAAGACTTGCGGGGGTACTAGAACTCAACTCGTCAACAAAACTTCTTGTAAAACCCGGGGTCCCCTCAGGTGTAGTACCCCTGCGAGTCTTGGTTTGCCAACATGATGAGGTTACCAAGCCAATTTCAACGGTCGTTGTGTCGTGTTTAAAAAGGACTCGGATGTCTACAAACGTTTCAACATTTCACTGTTTCACTGAGGACACGAAGAGCCGCCTGGCGTCAATCGCAGGGCTGAGATTGTGTGGCTAGAGAATCGAAATGAAAGGTCAACCTTTGCCCTTGAATTCTGCGGTGGATTTGTGGCCGTGGGTATATTTTACCTTGGGATTTTCCACTTCGTTCGGGAGCTGTCTGGACAGAAGTGTTCGGCCTTGTCTTCTCTTTAAGAAGAGAAAACCAGGATTCAAAAAAACCGATTAAATCAAGTGAAATTGGTAAAAAAATGACACCAGGAGCAAGCAATACACATATGGAATAAGGTAAGCCATTTTTATTTAATATTTTCACTTTTGACAATCTCTATGGCTATCTTGTAGAAAATCCCATACAAATCCTTATAAATCGATATGCAAATTGTGTTCTTGTGTGGTTCTCAAAGAGAGCTTGGGCTGCCTGTGCTCTTACCTCCAGACTTGAGACCCTCACCCTTTTTTTTTCTATAATCTAAAGAGCATTAATTTGAAGCCGAAACATCAGTCATATTCTTTGTTTTGTTTTGTCTTTTTTTCCGGCGCATCGCACCAGGCGAGTAGGGACAAATCAAGGAGTTGGAATAAGAGCCGAGATCAATTTCACCGGGAGCCTGCGAAAAAAATGTTGCAGTAAATGGTTTGAACCCGGGGGTAACATGTGAAGGTGTAGTCTGATCGTCCGGGTGAGTGTAGTCCTGAGAAGGACTGTTGTCGGTGGCAGTGACTGACGTTTCGACAACCTGAGCGGAAGTCATCATCAGAGTCGAGTGAANCAAGACTCGCGGGGGTACTAGACCTCAACTTGTCAACAAAACTTCTTGTAAAACCCGGGGTCCCCTCAGGTTTAGTACCCCCGCGAGTCTTGGTTTGCCAACATGACGAGGTTACCAAGCCAATTTCAACGGTCGTTGTGTCGTGTTTAAAAAGGACTCGGATGTCTACAAACGTTTTAACGTTTCACTGAGGACACGAAGAGCCGCCTGGCGTCGATCGCAGGGCTGAGATTGTGTGGCTAGAGAATCGAAATGAAAGGTCAACCTTTGCCCTTGAATTCTGCGGTGGATTTGTGGCCGTGGGTACATTTTAGCTCGGGATTTTTTACTTCGTTCGGGAGGCTGTCTAGACAGAAGTGTTCGGCCTTCTCTTCTCTTTAAGAAGAGAAAACCAGGATTAAAAAAAAAACGATTAAATCAAGTGAAATCGGTAAAATAACGACACTAGGAGCAAGCAACACACGTATGGAATAAGGTAAGCCATTTTTATTTAATATTTTCACTTTTAACTATCTCTATGGATATCTTGTAGAAAATCCCATACAAATCCTTATAAATTGATATGCAAATTGTGTTACGTGTGTGGTTCTCAAAGAGAGCTTGAGCCGCCTGTGGATAACCTTGCGATCCCACTGAAAAACTTTATCCTTTCTCTAGACATTAATAACTGGTTCCTCATGAAATCTACCAGGGCAGTCTCTTATAACAGCTTATGTGTTATCACTTAAAAAAAAAACATGATAAAATGATTTTTTTCATTCTAGTGGCATAGAATGAAACACTTAAGGTATACCTAACAAAACACTTAAAGTGCTACTGTGACCAAAAAGGCACCTTTCCTTTTCTCCTCAGAGATTCAAATTACTTACCCTAAGTAACAAATTTGCCAAATCTTAAGGCAAAACTCCATCGAGAAGTAATATTATTTTCCCTGTAGATTCGCGATCTAAACGGCCGCCATTATTCGAACTACAGAACTCCGGGCGAAAAAGAAGAAACTGGGTTGAGAACGGAAGTGACGTCAACGACTCAACAAACGTGGCTAATTTGGTATGCCGAGAGAGATTGGTTTTTCTGGTTCCGCAGGAAAGAAGGAATAAACTTCGAAAGAATTGTTCCCCAGCTTTCTTTTGCGTATTTCTTGTAAAAAAATGCCTTCGCGACGTTGTCAAAGTGAGTCGATGACGTCACAACTAAAACCGCTGTAGTTATTTTCGCTGGCTCTCCATTGTGTTATTCGAGCAATGGCAGAATAATTTTTAATGTCTTCGCGCCGCTGTTTTTAAGAAATAACGTTGTCAAATACTTTTCTAAATCTAGTGGCAACTTTTAAATTTTTAAGCAATTTTGGAGCAAGTTTTGGGTGTATTGTCAAGCAATTGATTTTTGCTGGATTTAATTGCGCAATGTATTCATGCCTACTTGGCAGGAACATTTTAGATCAAAGCCACCCGACCTTTGCTAAGAAACCTGCATATAATGATAAAACTGCGTTTACTGAGTAACTTACGTGTGTTCTTACTAGATTTTTAAGTCTGTCGTGTTGAAAGTGTGGCAGTGATCGAGGTTGCAACAAATTGTGCACGCGTGACCTCTACAATTACCTGCTATTTACTCCTTGGTTATTTGGAGTTAAAATGATTAATTTTCCTTGCGTTGACAGGATTATCCATTCGGAAAGGGGTGATTCTCTCAGAAATATTAAATTACCATTTGGGGGTATTCCACATTGTTTTATCATCATTCTGTTACACCCCTGCACAGTGGCTCTTGGAAAATCTACCATCTAAAAGTTGGATCTGGGCGCGAAAATAAAAGGGAATTCCACACTTTCCGTTATTTTCTTGCTGGTGGCGAATTGGACAAGATGTAATGAATCTTCCAAAAAAGCAAAAGAAGTTTTTTAACGTGAGCTCCTTCTTTGCTAATTAAATGTGACGGTTAAATTATTAGTATTAGGAATCGAATTGATATTTAGCTGCGTTACCCCCTTGTTTAAGTTGACCGTAAACATTACCGTAATTGTTCCCGGAGCCCTTTGAAGTTTCTTATCCCGTGGTCGAAAAATTCCAAATTAGGGGTCTTCCAGTGGGAGACTGGAGCCCATTTCTTCATCCAATGCTTCCTGAATCTTTTTGTCTTGAAATCATACCGATACAAGCGTATAACAAGCGAGCTGTAGGCGTCGGGTCGAACCAGCCACAAAGAAACCAGAGAGAAACTAAAACTGCAAGCGAAGCAAAGAAAAACAAACTGCAACCCAATATGAGACCGCTTGTTTGAACTCAGCGATTTTGCACAGACAAGTCCATAGTTACCACTCCTTCCGCCTTGACCATCTTCTCAGTCTCACAGTTTACACAGACAATTAAGAGAGTTTCCAGGTGAGAAGATGAAAGCGACTCAGTGTACAACACGCAGGTATTTTTTTTTTTTTTACTTTTATGGTCTCTTTTAGTCGAAACAATTATCTTACACCCTCATAAGCGTCCCTTATAATTACCGCATCAACAACTAAGGCTATGTGACACTGACTTTGAGTTCCGCAACTACTGTACAAAAATTACGAGCGTCGCCAAAACTTTCGTCGAAGTTCAAAATCTCGTCAATAGTCTCTTGCTCTAAACACTCCTTTCCGTCTCGGAGTCTCGAATTGTTTTATAAAAACGTCCCAAGTTCAACTCTTAGGCCGCGAAGGTGTCTCCAGAGTCTTTAGGAATGTTCTCTGTGTTCATCTCGAGCCAAATGGATACAACATCACGGTAGAAGAAAACCACCGATCGCACAAGACAGAGCAACTGATGCAAGCCTTGAAATTTAAAAATGGTCCCAGTACGAATTGAACACCGATACGGAAAGCCGAAGAAATGCCTGAAAGAGTTTACGGTTAAGAACTCTAAGAATTTTTAGCGTCGCGTAGGTTCGTGAATAAATTTTCCTAAAGAAAAGCCTTTTCATGTGAACCCCACAGCAGGTAACGCTCGTTCAGCGGTACAAATTATATCTCCCTTTCCCAATGAAACATTCTGACTGGATTAGTGAGCTGGGATTCCCGCTCAGTTTCTGTTCATATGAAAAATTTCAGCTTGATTACCGACACGAACTTGGAGCGACCTTTCGACTGAGTTTCATCTCTTAACTGAGACTGCATTTATTTGGTTACTCTCTTGCGCATTGGCATTCGTCTGTCAGAGATTTAACTGTAATAATGATCGATTACACTGCAATCGATGAACCAAATAACATCGACTGCCATCGATCACTAATCAATCGATCACCTCTGCTGGCATCGGTTTCTCGTTAAATACGCTCTGTATAATAGACATAATAGACACGGTACCTTAAAAATATGTTTATTACACTTTACAAGCAACAACGGTGAAGGACACAACACTGATCCACAGTCCACGGACTACCGGCGGATAGACTTACCTGAATGGACTACCCTAGAATGGACTAACCCAAAATCCTATTTCGAAAGAGTTCTTTTTTGAAGCATTGCCATCTATATATTAACATTACACGTGCCTTCGTTATTTACATGCAGTATTATTTAGTTAGATTAAAAGTCAAATATCAACTTCGCGTCAGCGCGGGGAATAGTTTTCGCAGTCTACTTTCTTTCCGCACTTAGCTTATTTTGCTTAATACTTGTGTCCACTTCAATGGTATAATGAAACTTAGTGCTTCTGCTTCGGGCTTCAACTCATCCACGCTTGAAAACACGCGCCGTAGTGAACTCTTGTTGAGGGTGATAGCAATGTGTTTGGTTAAACAACATCCCGCGTCGTTGTGTTACGCTCTCGATATCTTGCTGCCGCAAGCTACATGTACCACTGAATCTAGTGACTGCTAACTGTAGAGAATCTCTGATTTACATGGCAAACATCTGCATCAGTCTATATACTGAAAAAGGAAACAGTAAATATTCATTGGTTTCTCGCCTGTGGGAAGTAGCATAACTTCGAGCTATTTTTCGTAGGAAGGACTTAAGATGTTTAAAAAAATGGTGCTAACGAACTACAAAAGAATCAATTGTCTATTTTAGGGTAGTCCATTTGGAAAGTTCATCTGGGCAGTCCACGGACTGAGTGTTTTGTCCATCACCAGCAAATGTTTGCAAACTTAGACTCCTGAGTGAAATGTAAAGTATGTGGCAGTGAATTCCACGAGTCTCATATTCCGTCTGCAGAAAAGCTTACAGCCGTCACTATTTACATAAGTTAATTGAATTATAAATCAATCAGCCAATGAACTTAGACTTTTCCTTCCATATTGTAAACGATCGAAGGGATTCATTGGGTTTTACCAAGACTTTTTATCATTAACTCTCTCAAAAGGAGACATCTCATGTACCTTTGCTAAGTATAAACTGTGAAAGGCTATTTTTTTGGATTAAACTTCGTGACGCCTAGGTGTTTTCGTGCGATTGCTTCGAAATCACGCGAAAAGTCTCGTCTTACCCACGTAGTGTCACGAAACCATAATTACATTATCTCGAATGCTGCCTCTAAAAATTAAATGTAATATTTACTCTGTGCACACTCACTAGATGCGGGAATGATCTCAAACACCAATCGATAGATGAATTTTGGGATTATCGATTGGTCATCGTTTGCCATCGATTGGCCAATGCTAATCGATGCCAAGTATGTAAACCGTCAGTCGATTGGCGTCTATTGATCGATTGATTTTTGGATCATCGACTTTCATTGATTGTTCAGGCTTCGAATTTAGAACAGACTGTTGTAAGTCGGTAAGTGATACTTGGAGAAAACCGTAGCGTATCCACCAATATGAATATCGAAATACGCTAAAGCTAGGACAACTTCCTTCCCAGGGCCTTTTCTCTTGGTCGGGGGCTGGGGCGGGAAAAGGGAAGAGGCCCTGGGAACGAGGTTGAAGCTAGAATTAACCTCAATCCTGACCTAATGAACGTATTTTTCTTTAGAAACAATAAATAACTTCGTTTTTTGCTATATGTGACATTTTAAACTGACATAGCAGTGGGGACGCTCGTCAACATAATAATACGAAAAACTTTTCACTGTAAATACCGCTTTGATTGCTCCGAATTGACTTCAAACGGTTCAACCTCGTTCCCAGGGCTTTTCCCTTTTTGAATATTTTGTGGGGCGTGTTGCATCAGTGAATTATAATTTGTTTCCTCAATAAGCTGAAATGTTTTAATAGTTTTTCATGAAGAGTAAATCTCCCTTCCAAAATGAAGCAGTGAAGGTGTATAATAAATACTTTTTGTTCTTGGGCCATAATAATTTCATCTAAAATAAGACACAAACAGCAGTGATAAACATATTGAACTTGCACATTTTGATTATGACTTGACGTTTCGTATGTACTCAACATACATACATTTTCAAAAGTAATCGGTGAAATTTAAATATATATACATAGCTGTTTTAAATTTCAACGGTTACTTTTGAAAATGTACGTTGAGTACATACGAAACGTCAATTCATAATCAAAATGTGCAAGTTCAATATGTTTATCACTGCTGTTTGTGTCTTATTTTTGATCGAAGGTGTATAACCTTAAATTTGTGCAAAGTAGTGGTGTGTCATAATAGACATATGCTTTGGTGCGGTTTTCAAAAGGTCAACAGCGATGTGGAAGATCTAAAGTGCTGTGAACACAAACGATTTACAGCCGTGAGTGTAAATCACGACCGACCGAACCGACCGACCGACCGACCGACCGACCGACCGACCGACCGACCGACCGACCGACCGTGCACCAAAAAAATGAACGGCGAAGCCACTAGAGGCTTGGGGAGGAAGAAATTATATATTAGGGTAGTTTGTCTTTTCTGCTCGCGGCTTTGCCTCTCATCACTTACTGCACACAACACCGCCAGTTACCCAGGCTACACAACAACTAGCATCTGCAGTGAAAAAGAAATAGTCAACAGTAGAATCTGAGCCGAAACCTGAGCACGTACCGAAAAGCGTCCAAACAGCATTATGCAGGACGTTTGTCATATTTGAACTTGGTAATGGGCTATGCTCACCATACAGTTATTGTGGCTCAGTGGTAGAGCATCGGAACGCGGAATGGTCTGAGGTTGAATTCCCCAGGATGTTTTCTTTGTTCCACGTTCGTGACTAGACGAAAAAAGATCTTTCTTTATTTCTTTACCGAGCTCAAACTTACCATCTCTTTACAGACAGTGTAGTTGTTACGCTCTCGATGAAAAAATAGATGTCAGATAATCAACTTGATAACTGCGGTCGCACGAAGATGACTGCCTAATAGCAGAAAAGTAGTTAAAAAGCTGACGTTTCGAGCGTTAGCCCTTCGTCAGAGCAAATGACGACGGGCGAACGTTCGAAATGGCAGATTTTTGAAGCTCTTTTACAGTGGCCAATTTTCCGAATATAAAAAAGCCAAATTATCTCGTTATACCAGTACTAGTGCAGCAATACGGTTTCTTTAAAAAACTTACCTCTTTACCTAATTAAAAGAGTTCCACTGTGAGATTTCCAGATGTAAGAATAAGGTATTATTTACGCTCATTTAGGTAATTATGGATGGAAGCTGGTCAACTAGACAAAGGTAGATTCATTTCGTTTATCACCCACCTCTGATCTACTTGCTAAGTTAAGAAATGGCTGTCGCACTGGACCCAGACGAAGTGCTTTGTTCCACGAGCGGGAAAGATAACTTCTACAGAATATCGCGCCTTCTCATAAGTGGAGGTACTACACTACTTAGAGAGGTGTTTGATCAGAAGTGCCCACCAGATTGTCTTCCTCAAAAATTAAATGAGCTTAGAGCGGCAAAGCTCACAAAGCCACAGAGGGACTGTCTGTACCCCTCCCCAGGGACTTATGGCAAATCAGAAGATTTCGATATTACTCTGCTCTTCTATTTGTTAAAGACAATTTGCAACCTCACCCCTCCTGGCACGGGCTGGGATGTATTACCGGCCCCCACCGATCACAGTTTGGCTGCAGATTTAGCAAGAATCAAGCATTACAGGAACACGGTGTATGGCCACGTAACTTGGAATATGGAGATAGCAGATGACGAGTTTCTACAGCTTTGGGAGGATATCAGCCAGGCGCTAATAGGTATCGCGGGACACATCAGCCCAATAAAGAAACGTGATTGGCAGAAGGCCATTGTTAACCTTTTGAATGATCCTCTTACAACCGATGATGAAAGAAATGTACAGGAACTGCAGGAATGGTACAAAGAAGACATGACTCTTAAGCAGGCCGTGGGTGAATTAACACAAAAAGTCGATAAAGTACTTGAAAGAGCCGATAAACCTAGTAAAGAGTCGAAGAACCACCCTCCTCGTGAATGTCCTTCGGCCCCAAAAGGGGACAGTAATGAAGGAATTGGTGAGTTCTAGGATTAAACTTGTTGTTTGTTAAACTTTCCTCCCTCACTTTTCGAAAATTCCCGCATGAACCGGCAGTGCCCAAGAAGTCACTGAGCAGAGCCCTGTGGCTGTAAACTAAAGTGTTAAAATCTGGTCAATAAGAGTGTCCCGCTTGAACTGAACCTTGAATGCTTAGGCTTATGTATTAGTTAAACTACAGGAATATGTAACGTTCTGTTCTTCCAAACAAACTTTTCCCGTTACAATTCTACCACGCTTTTCCGTTGGAGAAACAAAAGGATTTCAAACTTCCACTAACTCCACGATGTTTTAAGTCGATAAAGCCTGCAGTGTGTTGGTAACAAAATGTTATTTCGATGACGCATCCCAGATGGACTCCAGCTATAAATTACGTTGCAGTCTTGGAATAGCAACGGCCAGTAAAGCGCGTCCTGAGAATGTGTGCGTTTCTTCCCCTGCGAGTAAGTTTAAAACATTGAGCAATGCTAGCAAGTCAGAGGTCTACAAGGGATCTGGCACTAATAATAACGAGGGGCTCAACAGTGCCAGACCCCTTACAGACAGTCTCGCCGGCTCACGCTGCTTCAGTCATGGCCTCATACGTTCCAACGTGTAGAACCGCTAATACCGCAGGCTTGCTCGTGTGCTACGTCCCCAGTCTCAAAATTACCCTTCTTCAAACGGCGAGCAAATCGTTTACTTTCGAATGGTATAACAATCTGCTTGAAACTCGTAGGAGAAGTCAAGTTTCGACTGAAAATGAATTTGTGCAATTCTAAACTATTAAACATGCAATAACACGTTCTCTTTTTCGGGGAAGCCGGCGCAACAGTGTAAAGGTGTAAGAATTCCGCGATTGGTTTGAGCCCTGAACTGATTATGAGTCTGGATTAACAGTTGTTTTTTTCCTTTTCTTGTTTTACGTGCATCTAAACAAAAGATATAGCTCTCATTCAGCTGGTTATTGAATGTGTAGCCACGCATTTTGATCAACGACGAGAATCTCCAAGGAACAGGAGAGCCACCACACAAGATGTTTTAAACCTTGCTGCGCAGACGTACTTAATAAACATGCAGCCCTCCACTCCGGAAGAACAAAATAAATTTCTAGATTATTTGAGGGAAATACGACGTTTGTTGTTTATCGATGCCAAAGAAGGGAGCTTGATCATCACAGTGGGATGTAGATCTGTTCAGATACTCGATGACTTATGGAAAGACTATTGCGCTGGTCGTGTAACTGAAATGGCACAGAAATACCTTGTAACGAAGCGAGTTCTGGATGACCTTGGTCTTACCGAGGCAAAACTCACCACAAAAATTCCAGAGGAGGAGTACAAAACTTGTCGAAAGCAATTATCGGTGTATGCAGGTAAGCTCGAGATGCATCTTCAACCACCATCTGGCCTTCAGTGCAGGATTTAAAGAACTACTCTGTGTTATAGGAGGACATGTATGATGCACGATCCTCGCAGTAGAGAGCGCTATTTATGCAATAGCGAGAATCAGACCTGAAAAAAATCAGGCCTGTACGGGATTCGAACCACTGACCTCTGCGATACTAGTGCAGCGCTCTACCAATTGAGCTAACAAGCCAACTGGGAGCAGGCCGTTAAGTTGATTCCTAATAAACCCGTGATGATAAATCAGATACGATCAATATATGAAGTTCATATATTGATCGTATAGGAGGACATGCTATCCAAGTTGAAAATAATTGGATGAAAAAAATTCTGAAAACGGCCAAAATTGGCTGTCAGAGTAATTTTTCCAACCCAATTATTTCCAAAATTGGACTAGCAGGTGGTCCTCTCACTTATTAATTATATAGCTAGTCATTCAAACTATTATTCTATAATTTTTTTAAACTGTCCAATTAAGGGTTAATTTTGATAGTTTGAAACTATACAAATTAATCCCTTATTGGACAGTTTCAAAAAATTATAGAATATTAATGATAGCTATGCTGAAACTTTCGGATTAACGACCAGCTATACAATGGAGTTAGAAACTTCTTGCTTCTTTTATCGAGGCTGGACATTGCGAGTCGATCACGGAAGTGAAACTGTTATTGATGCTGCAACGAGGATATCGAAAGTACAAATCTGAAAACGCCTAGACTCATCCAACATGAAGTTTCAAGCTCCTCTTTTGTTGTAGCTTTGTTGCTACAATGTAATGAAGTTAGTAGTGTACCGCGTCTGCTTACGGAACTACTTGGCCGAGCGATTTTTACATCTCTTACCCACACTCGGTCCCAGGCCTTGCGGGATTCCGTAAGCAGACGCGGTACACTACTGAAGTTGTCATTCTTAAATTTATGTCGCTTTATTAAACCTCAGGAAAGTTGGCCATATTTAAGTGTGCATTCTATGTTTTGAATACTTCGAAACTTAAATGCATGTTGTAATAAAGAAAAACAGAAACAAAAAACTGTTTTTGCTTCTTTGTAGAACTTAAACAGATAATTCAGCGGTTGAAGGATTACCAAGGTAAACTTCAAAGAAGTTTTGTCAAATGGGCTAAAATTAGAAATGAAATCAGAGACTTGCTTTCGGAGTTTGTAAACAGACGTCAAGAACGAAGGATGCACTTTGGTAGAGCATCTCGGATCACGGCCGCAGTAGGGGCAGCACTTACAACAGATATCGTTACAGGCCTATTTGCAGTCCTCGTGTATTGTTCTATAAGCTGCCTTTTCGGAGAAAATCGCAGAAAATCTCTTACTGCACAAGACATAAAAGCTTTGCAAGAGGTTGCTTTAAACATGAACCACCTTCAGCGGCGCGTTGCTCACCTAGCTGTGTATTGTCGTGACAACACCGAACGAGTACTATCGAGCACAGTTTTGGCCCTCTTGTCGTAGGGTCTCAAGTATAAAGGGTTTTTGAGACCCTACGACAGCCAGGATCAGAAGTTTGTCTTGCACCGACGTCAACACTATCAACACTAATCGAAAGAGAATCAAACATCCATACGCAGCGTTTACCCAGGTTAGTAGCTAGCCTTGTTGAGAATGAATCTAATCAGGGAGAAGCTAAGAGAACTTGCAGAGAAATTCTAAATGAGCTAAGTGAAGAACCGAATGAGGGAGAAATCAAGAGAATGGTCTTCGATTTTATCAATGAAGAGTTTATCAGGCAGATGTAAAGAGGTAACAAGTAGAGGATGGATATCTTCTTTGTGTCATATGGTCACCGGCCGAAGCTAGTGACAATAGGGACTTTAAGCAAACCACGACGGCTACGGCAACGAGAACGTGGAAAAACAATAGATCTAATTGGCAAAACAATAGCCCAGCACGTGCGTTTTCAAACTTTGTACATTTCTTAGCCGACCTTTGCAAAACAACAACGTGAAATCACCAAAATTTGCGTCGTCTGTGAAGC